ACCCTCTCCCACACTCTCCCCCTCTCCCACATTCGTACCCTCTCCCTCCCACACTCTCACTCTCCCATACTCTCACTCTCTCTCACATTCGCACCCTCCCCCTCCCACACTCGCACCCTCTTCCACACCCGCACCCTCTCCCACACTCGCACCCTCTCTCACACTCTCACTCTCCCACTCTCCCCCTCTCCCACACTCTCTCTCCCATACTCTCACCCTCTCTCACATTCGCACCCTCCCCCTCCCACACTCGCGCACTCTCCCACACTCACGCCCTCTCCCTTCCACACTCGCACCCTCTCCCACACTCTCACTCTCCCACACTCTCACCCTCTCACATTCGCACCCTTTCCCTCCCACACTCACACCCTCCCCCTTCCACACTCGCACCCTCTCCCTTCCACTCGCACCCTCTCCCACACTCGCACCCTCTCCCGCACTCACACTCTCCCACACTCTCTCTCCCACACTCTCACCCTCTCTCGCATTCGCACCCTCTCCCTGCCACACTCCACACTCGCACCCTCTCCCTTCCACACTCGCACCCTCTCCCGTCCACACTCGCACCCTCTCCTACACTCTCACTCTCCCACATTCCCACCCTCTCCTACACTCTTACCCTCTCCCACACTCTCAACCTCTTCCGATCGCGCACCCTCTTACGCACGTGCATCCTCTCCCCCCGCCCACCATACCGACACGCCTCTGGGTGGCCCCCATGACGGGCTGGCCTGCCATGCGTTCAATGCCGTCGCTGCCACTGCCGCACACCTCTCTCCACCTGCTGTTTCCGCCCCTTGCTGCGCCCCTACTGTGCATTATCTCTTTGACGGTTGCAAGCAGTAGCATGGTGATCGCCTTATACTTATACGGTGTCTGACCCTCCTCACTGTGGGCACTTGTGGTTGTGGGCGCTAGGGCCATGGTCCAACCTCATCCCACTGCGTCTCATCTTTGTTGCCCTCATGCCTCGGTCCGATCCTCACTGCTTCCCCCTCACCACCATCCCGTGCCTCCCTCAGATGCAGCCCCTGCGGGTGCGTCGCTGCCTGGCGGCGGCACGGGGTGGGAGCTGGCGTTGGTGGCCGCTCCCTCCTCCACCGCTGTTGCGGCGCCCGACTCCAATCCCAACTCCAAGCTGGTATCCTCGCTGCCTCTGCCTCCGTCGCATCTCACACTCTCCTGCCGTTTATTATCCATGTCCCTCACTCCGACAAGCCTCTCAATTGCTCTTCATTTCTCTCACTCCTCCCTCAACCCCGCCCGTCCACCTCCCGTCAAACCCTCATGTTTCACGCCTCATCCCCCCTGCCCGTGCCACCAGGCGGGCGGGTTTGACAAGCTGACGCTGGACTCGCTGTACGAGGACGCCATCCGCCGCTCCACCAACTCCTACCAGAATTCCTATGCCACCTCGGGCCCCCCGCCGCCCTCCGCCATGCTGGCTCTGCCCGCCCCCCCCGGCGCCTTCCAGGCGGCGGGCCCCGCTGCCCCCGGCATGCACGGGCCGCACGACCCCTTCTCCGCATCGCGCCACGTGCCCCCGCCCACCAACGTGCAGCTCGCCACGCTGGCGCACCAGCAGCACCAGGCGGGGGGGGCAGGCAGCTTTGGGCCGGGAGGGGGCATGGGCATGGGGGGAATGGCAGGAGGGGCAGGGCAAGGCTTCGGTAGTTACCCTGGCCCAGGGATGGGCATGGGCATGCAGGGTGGCATGGGTATGCAGGGCGGCATGGGCATGCAGGGCGGCATGGGCATGCAGGGTGGCATGGGCATGCAGGGTGGCATGGGCATGCAGGGTGGCATGGGTGGCATGGGCATGGGTGGTCCTGGTGGCCCCCCTGTGAACCCCTTTGCGAACCCATATGGTCCGCCCAATGCATATGGCTCTGTGGGCATGGCCCCCCATGCTGCCCCCGCCCCCGCTCCCGCAGGGCCTGCAGGGTACCAGTCAAACCCCTTCGGCAACCCCAGCCTGCTGTGAGAAAGGAGAGCACAGGCAGTGGTGGTGCCAGGGGTGCGAGGGTGGGCAAAATACTGTGTGATACTGGGCGCACAGAAAGCATGTGGGAGGAATGACGACAGGCGGAGCCGGTGATGGTGGCAGTGGTGGGTTGGCCAGCTGCAGCTGACAGCTCAGCAGTGTGGTGTGGAGGTTGTGGGGGCAGAGGCAGCTGATTTGTGTGGACACACCTCCATGTGCAACTCTTCTAGTGACGCTGTAGAGGGATGCCAAGTTACTGTAGAATGTGTTGTGTTGTGGGTATCTTAAGCTTGAGTAGGTTACATATTGCTGAAGTCACTCTACTACCAGGTGATCTTTTCATATCCGTGTGTGGATAGACGGCCACCACAGCCTCACTGGTGCGCACCCGTGCCACTAGTGGTACCTGTGATTGAACTGACTACCGGTACAAGGTTCCTGCAGATACACACCCATGTCCTGTCCTGTCCTATGTTGAATAGCACCATGTTGATATGGAATGGAAGAGTAGATGTAATGGATGGAATATTGTGTTATCGTATGTTGGGCTGAGAACAGCCCTATGATCTTTTCAGGAGCTAAGTCCTTGTTGTCAAACATGTGTATCTCCTGTGTTTGCATAGACTGTATAGGGCCATCTCTTAGAGGGTACAACACTTAGGTATATTCACCTGTACTCTCTCCTTAATCATTCAGTTCTCACTTTAACATGGTATCACGCGTAGATTAGGATCCCCCACCTACCGCTTCCGCCCGTACCCTAGCTAGGGCCCGCCGCTTCCCCCTGGGCCCCGTCGCGCCTCCTAGCCCCGTCGCGCCCCTCCTGCCGCGCCTCCTGGCCCCGTCGCGCCCCTTCCTGGCCCCGTCGTGACCCCCTAGCCCCGTCGCGCCCCTCCTGGGCCCCGTCGCGCCACTAGCCCAGTCGCGCCCCTACTGGGCCGCATCGCGCCCCTCCTGGGCCCCGTCGCGCCTCCTGGCCCCGTCGCGACCACCTAGCCCAGTCGCGCCCCTCCTGGGCCACGTCGCGCCCCCCCTAGCCTCGTCGCGCCCCTCCTGGGCCCTGTCACGCCTTCTGGCCCCGTCGTGCCCGCTCGGCCCCGTCGCGCCCTGCCCGGCCCCGTCGCACCCGCCTGGCCCCGTCGCGCCCTGCCTAGCCCCGTCGCACCCTGCCCGGCCCCGTCGCGCCCGCCTGGCCCCGTCGCGCCCGCTCGGCCCCGTCACGCCCTGCCCGGCCCCGTCGCGCCCGCCTGGACCCGTCGCACCCTGCCTAGCCCCGTCGCGCCCTGCCCGGCCCCATCGCGCCCTGCCCGGCCCCGTCGCGCCCGCCTGGCCCCGTCGCGCCCTGCCCGGCCCAGTCGCGCCCGCCTGGCCCCGTCGCGCCCTGCCTAGCCCTGTCGCGCCCTGCCTGGCCCCGTCGCGCCTGCCTGGCCCCGCCGCGCCTGCCTGGCCCCGCCGCGCCTGCCTTGCGCCCGTCCCAGCCGGCCCCGCGCCCACCCTCGCGACCTCCGCGCCCGTCTGCTCGGCCCCTGCGCCCGTCCCAGCCGGCCCCGCGCCCGTCCCGTCGACCTTGTGCCCGCTGCTTCTGGCCCGAGCTGTGTGCGGCCCGCTAGTCGTCCCTGCCCCGGCCCTGCATCCTCCCTGGTACGGTTCCCCATCCTTGCACCGCACTGCACCGTCCTGCACCGCACTGCACTGCGCGGTACCGCCCTACACCGCACTGCACCGCCCTGCACCGCACTGCACCGCCCTACACCGCACTGCACCGCCCTGCACTGCACTGCACCGCCCTGCATCGCACTGCACCGCACTGCACCGCACTGTACAGTCCTGCACTGCTCCTGATGGCGGCGGAGCTTCGCTTCGACGCTGAAGGCCAGCCTCTGGAGTTCGAGGCGTGGCTCGCCGACCTCCGTCGCCACCTCACTGGCCATCGGCAGGATGGCCACCCGCTTTCCGCACACCTTGACGGTACGCTCCCTTGCCCAGACCCCCCTGCTGTTCTGCCCGCTGACCCCACACCCACTGAGCGCGAGTCTACTGCAGCCACTGCCCTTGCGCGCTCTGTCTGGCTTTCTTGCGACGCTGTCGCTCAGCTTGCCATTAGAAATGCCCTTCCCCCGTCCAAGCGCCCTCGCTTTACGTCCATCACTACCGCCCAGGCTTACTTAGATGCTGTCATCAAGCGCTATTCCACCCCTCCTGCTGCCTCGGTGGGTCGCCTGATCCTCCCGATGCTCTTTCCTGACCTAACGTCTTTCCCCACTGTCTCTGACCTAGCTGCCCACCTGCGCTCGATAGATGAGACCTGGCGCGCTGCCTGCACTGACACACAACTTAGAGCCCACCAGCCGCATATTACCTCTACCCTCTACCTGCTTGCCACCCGCCTCCCTGACCGCCTTGCCGCCGCCCGCGACCGCTTCCTTAGCATCCACCCCGGTGAGCTCACCATCCCCGACTTTGTAGACACCCTGACTGTTATTGAGACCCGCCACCGCTCCATCGCCCAGGCGAGCGGTACCGTCCCGGTCCCTATCTCCATGATCCATGCCGGTGCACCTCCATGATCCATGATCCATGCCGGTGCACCCCATTTTCTGTGGCCGTTCGCTGTGCGCTACGCTTCTCACCAGCTTAACCTGTGGCCGCACCCCCAGCACCCGCAGGTTTTGCCGACCCGTCTTTGGACTGGGTCTCCTGGTGACGCATCTGCGTTCCACGTCTGGGGCTGCCTTGCTACGTGTTCAAGGCGCGCTACGTGGCTAGAGGCTTCAGTCAGTGTGAGGGGGTGCACTTCTTCCAGACCTTCGCTCCGACCCCGAAGATGACTACTCTTCGGGTTCCGTTACACCTAGCTGCTCAGCGTGACTACGAGCTTCACTCCCTCGACTTCTCCACTGCCTTCCTTCAGGGCAGCCTACACGAGCAGGTCTACTTGCGTCGCCCTCAGGGCTTTACTGGTACCTTCCCTCCTGGGACCCAGTGGCTCCTGCGGCGTCCCGTCTACGGCCTGCGCCAGGCTCCCCGTGAGTGGCACGACACGCTGCGTGCTACCCTTGCTGACCTGCAGTTCTTTCCGTCTTCTGCAGACCCCTCACTCTTCGTTCGTGCTGGCCAGACTCCGTTCTACATCCTTGTTTACGTTGACGACCTGGTCTTTGCCACAGCAGATAGGGACGCACTGGCCTCAGTGAAGGCAGAGCTGCTGAAGAGACACACGTGCACTGACCTTGGAGAACTGCGCTGTTACCTTGACTTGCATCTCTCCCGGGACAGAGCAGCGCGCACCATCACCCTGACTCAGTCACACTTGGTGCGCCAGGTCCTTTAGAGGTTCGGCCTTCAGTTCTCCTCTGCACAGCCCACCCCTCTGCTTGTAGACCACAGACTCTCTGCTCCAGTTCCTGAGGAGTCGGTAGAGCCCATTGGCCCCTACGCTGAGCTGGTGGGTTGCCTCATGTACCTGATGACTTGCACGCGCCCAGATCTCGCATACCCTCTCAGCATCCTGGCTCGCTTTGTGGCCACAGGCAGACACCGACCGCAGCACTGGTCTACTGCTAAGAGGGTTTTGCGTTATCTTGCTAGTACATCAGGCATGGGGTTAGTGCTAGGAGGACGTGGGCCAGTGGTCCTTACTAGACACACAGACGCTTCTTGGGCAGACGACGCCGAGACACTCAGGTCTACACAGGGCTACTGCTTCAGCCTTGGCTCAGGTGCCGTCTCGTGGAGAGCCACCCGCTCCTCGTCTGTTGCCTAGTCCAGCTGTGAGGCCGAGATCTACGCTGGTGCCATGGCGGCACAGGAGCTCCGCTGGCTGACCTTCTTGCTCACTGACTTAGGTGAGCGGCCTAGCTCTGCCCCCGTCTTGTTCGCTGACAACAGAGCCATGATCCTCCTGTGTCAGGAGCCTCGACTCGAGGGCAGAGCGAAGTATATTCAGCTGCGGTACTTCCTCCTGCGCGAGCTACAGCAGCGACGCCAGGCGCGCGTAGTACACTTGGCCTCAGGTGCCAACACAGCTGATATCTTTACGAAGGCGCTTGCGCCTAAAGATCATCAGCGGCACTGTGTACAGCTTGGTCTAGTTCCTGTAGCCTCTCACTTGTTAGGGCCTTGACTTTGTACTGTCCTTTATATGTGTACTCAGACTGGACTTGTGTCCTCTCCCAGTGGTTGGACTAGTAGTGCCGCCCTGGTCTTGGTCTTGCCTTGTCTGTACTCCTTCTGACTGGTCTTTTAGACCCTTGTCTCAGAGGCTGGACTAGTAGTGCCGCCCTGAGCTGCTTGTTCAGGACCTGCCCCTATGCAGTCTAGGGGGTGTGTCAAACATGTGTATCTCCTGTGTTTGCATAGACTGTATAGGGCCATCTCTTAGAGGGTACAACACTTAGGTATATTCACCTGTACTCTCTCCTTACTCAATCATTCAGTTCTCACTTTAACACTTGTAACAGAGTGCTTGATAGCATAGCGAAAGTCTTGAGTTGAACCCTTGTACTGGTACCGTATTCCCAGGAATATATGACGCAGGTTTTGTTCACGCGGACTAACCCCCTCCCGGACATGGCGCGGACTAACCCCCTTTTTGACCTGGCAGGACTGTGGCAGTAACACGCTAGAACAAAAATCAGACCTGAACGGACCTGGATCACTGGGCAAGAGTCATATCTCCGGATATATGACCACGCTAACCTTTAAACACCTCTCAACCTCCCTCGGTTGGTGGTGATTTCGCCAACATCGTCGAGCGAAGGGAACGACGCCACAGAACGCCGCGGTTCCCGTCGCGAGCGTCGTGGTGGGGAGGCTACGTTTTCGCATTGTGATACTGTCGCTGAGTTCGAGCCTCTACAGTTTAGGGTGAAATAAAATCGACAGGTGTTGTAGTAGACTAAGTATAAAACTATAAACACGAACACTTGGCAAATCCTCAAGTGTTGGTCCAGGATCTTTGCTGGAATGGTAGACTAGTAAGACAGCGGAAGTCTTGTAAAATGTAAAGGTCAATGTTGAATAACCTGAGTATGTGAACTTGTGGGTAATCAAAGTTACCGTAATAATGAAAAAGACCTAACAGAGATTTATAGTTCTACGAAAGGTACCTATTCGCTAATGTACCTGTTCGTCACTATCGCGCTATGCGCCCTAGATGATAATGAAGAGGTGCGACTGTTCGTGTGACTGAAATGACTGTCCTATGACGAGCGCTATTTGCTGACGTCATCCTACGGGCTTATCTTCTACAGTATGATTCGACACTAACTACACATAATCGACTTACAGAAATGCTAAGTATCAATTATATCACAACACTCCCCTTCATTTCTGGAACGTTGATAGTTTCACTTCTTGAAGATTCCGCAGAGCTTGTTACAGTACTGAAACTTCTGTCGTATCAGCTTCTTCGTGAGAAAATCGGCAGCCATTTCGTTGGTCGAACAGTAGACCAATCGCATCCTCCCCTTCTCGACTTCATCTTTGACGAAAAAATATCGAAGCGAAATATGCTT